TTATTTTTAAATCTAATTACTGTTAATTAGAAAGAACTACATATTTTTAAATAATCAAGTTGTTTTAAAACTTGTGTTAAATCAAGATACTTGATGCTGAATTCAATTATGGTTACAAATATACAATTTTTATGTTTGAGGCATAGGTAAATTCAAATTGAAAACAAGAAATAAAGTATCGCCATCTCTGAGGTCCCGGGTTCGATTCCCGGTCGGGTCAATGTAGAAAATAAACTTTTCTATATTGACTCGGGTCTGGGTGTTGTGGTACCTTCGTTGTCTCAGATACTCCATAATACGGGGGCTTTAGCTACTCATCTTGGAATCTGAGCAATGTATGTGATGTTGTTAAATATTTATTTATTTATTTTACTACTGTACTAATATTTTTTTATCTTGTTAATTGCTATAACAAATATGCAACGTATATTTCCAGCTGTAGGAGCGTCATCAAATCCTTGTGCCATTACTTATGCTGGTCCTGCGGCCTTTTCTGAACAAGAATCACTTGCTTTGGCAAATTTGATAAATAATTTGAGCAAACAAGGCTCCTTATTGTACTATCTCAGCTATCATTCGTTTACACAATTGTTATTGATACCGTACAGCCATGTACAAGGCAAAGATGTTTTAGAAGCAGATAACTATGCAGATTTGGTACGTATTTAATATATATAAATCTACCGTACAATTAATCTTAAAATGGAATCGAGTAGTGGAACAAAAGATTTGTATGGACATATTTAACAAATGAAAAATATTTATCTATTTACCTATATCATCACGCCGTATCCCTTGCGGGGTTACTCAAGAGGATAGAGTACCAGAAGGCACTTTTCTTATATATTTTGATAGATTATTTATAACTTGAATGTGGTTGATAGTAATGAAGTTATAATTAATATATTACGCTTATGGCAGGAACAGATATATTAAGAATCTATGATGTATTATTTACAGTTTGAAATAGGCATTAAAGGGATGGATAAATTGACAGCAAGACATAACACTACTTATCGTGTTGGAACTTCCGCTGATATTTTATGTAAGTTCTCAACGAGTTTTCAATTTTCTTTCTTTTACTTCACGAACTATTAGTTATAATATACACCTTTATTATTAATATATTATTATATGTAATATAAGGTGTAATATTATTGTATGTCAGGACTTCGTGAGGTGGATTAGTAACAACATTTACATAATTGTAATACCTACAATCGTTTAAATTATGGTCCAGCTGATTAATTTTTCGTGAAGTCAGTTTTGCTCCCATAGTAAATGTTGTTTCAGTACATTTAACTAATCAACTCCATGAATTCCTGGCATATAATAGTATTACACTTTTTTTATATACACATATTACGAAATAAATTCTGCTCGCCTGACTGTTTGAACAATATATACTCAAAAACTACAGAAAACAATAAATTTAGGAATTCAATTCTCGAAGAAAATATTTTGCACGACTGATGTGACTGACACATATAAACATTATGTTGGTATTTTTGTTTTTCTTTGTGGCGTAGAATTCATTCATTACTGTTTGGTATAAATTTAATAAATCAAATCTTATTAGAGTACTCGAAAATCCACTATCCCCAAGTTACTGAGATAATGTGATTGGAGATTCTATTTTACTTTAATAAGATTGTTATCAACATAGAAAATCTATAATATATAAAGCTTAATTACCACTCACTGACTCACTGACTCACTCCATGCTTTTTTCGGGTAGTTAAAGTAGGAAAATGACATTTTCATGTATGAAGAGTGATAATATTTTTTTAAAATGAGTTGAAATGGCATTGGGGTTCAGCCAAAAAACAAAATGGCGGCGAGATAATTTTTTTAGTTTCTACATTATTCACTCTACGATTACGATATTCAAAATAGTCGTAGATGTAGCTAAAAAAATGACGCTGAAAAAGGGTTTGATTAAAAAAACAAAATGGCGGCCGAGATATTTCACCTGGAAATTTGGCATTTTTCGACCTCTGTTCGGGCGATCGTCAATTCTTTTGTGGTGGGTTTGCAGGGGGTATTTTTAGGCTGGCGACTCGGAAATATAGTCGATTTTCACGTACGGGGAGTTTTCGCTTGCGTGTCAATATGGCGGCGGCGGTGGCGGCCATTTTGTTTCGGCATTGAAAAATCGCCATTTTCCAGTGAGATTTTCTCCAAGATGGCGGCGTCGGACGGGTTCACGTTGTATGGGGTGGTCGTGGGGCTCTCTGCTAACTTTTTAAGTTGGTAATAATTTCTACCATTTTCGTGGTAGTTTAGGAGATTTTGGGAGAAAAGTGAAATTTCGAAATACGCACTTTTCGCGGAAAACAGACTAGGTGCGGTGTGGTGCCAGGGGAGCCCTATGACTTTTGGTAGTTTTCGTTTCCGCGAGCTAACAACCCTGGGCTCCGCGGTAGAAAACGTGTTTTTCGACATGCCCTCATAACCCGAATTGTTTGGGAACCTGGGTGGCCAGCGGAGAAAATCTGTGAATGAGGTCCCTTGCCTGATATAGTCGTGACTATGAGAAAATTATGAAACTCGGGAAAATCAATATGGCGGCGCCGGCAGCGGCCATTTTGTGATTTTTTCACTTTTTCGAAAAATCTTAACGCACTTTTAGCACACATGGCAACATCGGAGCTCTTCGCCTTGTATGGACCGGTCGTGAGTCTCCGCCGGCTCCTTCGAATGAGGTGAAACTTTTCCCCGATTTTAGGGTAATTTCGGAGATTTACCCCAAAAAGGTGAAAAGTAGAAAAAGCCGTTTTGGAATTTCAAAAATGAATTTCCTCGACGGAGGGCACTCTCCGAAATGACATTTGGCCATTTTCATCGTCGTCACCTGGCAACCCCGGTGGTTGCGGCGATTTGAAAAATTTTGCCCATTTTTTACTTTGTCGACTCTAGCGCGGTCAGTATTGCCACTAGGAAAATGGTAAAAACTGCATCGGATGCGCTATTGAGTTGGCCACACCGGTACGGAGCCGGATTTTCAAAATTCAAGATGGCGGTCAAACCAGCGGCCGTTTTATCCGGAAAATTGGGTATCGTCACCGCATCGAGCCGATTTTGACGCACTTGGTGACATTTGTCAGAGTACTTCCGGGGAAACATTTTTTAGGCAAGTAACTAAAGTGTTGCCTGATGAAAAAAAAATTCGAAAATTTCTGATACTTTATGAGATTTTTGAGGAAACAATTTTTGTCGAATTTTTGAACTTTTTTGATTCAAATATTTTAATTTTAACTTTTCAAGATACCCGATGGAAAAATTAGTACGATCGACTGGCAACACTGAGAGCAAACAACGTTTAAAATTCAACCTCGATTTTGACCGACTTGGCAACCCCGAAGGTATTTGGCATGTATGGAGCGATTGTGCATCTCTATAGACTCTTTCATATGGTGGAAAAAAATTACCCGATTTTAGGGAAGTTTTTGAGATTTACCCCAAAAACTCTAACTGTCAAAGAAATAATTTTAGAACTTGAAAACTGGTATCGGTCGATGGAGGGCGCACCCCGAAATGACATTTGACTATTTTCATCGCCTACACCTGGCAACCCCGGCAGCTACGGCGGTTTGAAAGTTCAATGCCCACTATTCACGTTTGGACTCTAGCGCAGTCATTATAGCCGCTAGGAAAATAGTAAAAACTGCGTTGGATGCGCTAATAGGTGGGCTATATAGATCTGAGATCGAAATTTCAAAATTCAAGATGGCGGATTAAATAGCGACCATTTTATCTAGAAAATTGATCTTTTTTCACGACTTTCACTCTATGATGAGCTGATTTTGGCGTTTTTGGTAACATTTTTAAGAATACTTTTGACAAAAATATGTATTCAGCTGAAGTGTTGCCAGATGAAAAAAAGACTGTAAAATTTTTGATACCGAGATTTTTGCGAAACTTTCATGTATGTCATTGATGAAAAATATTAAAATATTTTTTTACAATGATTTTACTGTTTAGTAAAATTTTTACTGTTGCATTTATAACATAATTGATGGAATAATTTGAGTTCTACACTGATAGTAGTCACCATATTAATTTCAGAATGATTCTGACTGAGCTGGCGACTCGGAAGCTTTGCATATATAGACCGTTAGCCATAGACTCAAGACTCAATCTTAACGATTTTTTTTTATTAATATACCGTTCTAAATACCCTTTCACCGGTTGTTATACTGAACAATTTTGCATACCTATTTCTGTATTTATATTCATCTTAAAAAATGCTTAAAAATCACCGTTATCAGGTGCATAGATAGGATTCGAGACTTTTGCAATCCAAACGATGGCTCCAAATGCTTCAACTATTGTGCTACCCCGAATTTGTTAAACACTTGCTAATTTCAATTTGCCTAAACACCGGAAAGAAATATTTTTACAAATAATATTTAAAGTTTTGAGAAGCAAAAATGTGTTCTAAAATATATTATATTAGCTGTTTCCCGTAATTTTATGCACGTAAATGATACCCCTCGCCTATGATGAGAATTTTTGAAATTGGTCCAGTACGTTTGGAGCCTATTTTATGCAAATAAAAACAAAACAATCAAAACTTTTATGTTCAAAATTTTAGCGTTGATTTTTATTCCATCACCAGACTGTCTAGTGATTTTTTTATGATGTTTTGTTTGAAGCAAGAAACATTACGCAGTCTTGTTTTGGTTTGGTCATTCGTGATATGAGCTATCACGGAGTCTTCTTTGGATAATAATTCTTTAATCAGATTTTTTTTATAAAATGTCACATTATTGATTCTGTTTGAAATTAATTTACAGCTGTTGGTGCATCAAATGACCCATGCAGCAACCTTTTTGCTGGTCCTTTACCAGCATCTGAGCCTGAAACCCAGGCTATATCTCAGTATGTGTTGGAATTGAGTGATCGCGGAGAAATTATTTACTACATAGCATTCCACTCTTATACGCAGATGTTCGTCGCTCTCATCATAGCCCTTCAGCCACGTCGCTAGCAATCAGATGTTGGCTGCCGACAATTATGCAAACATGGTAAATATTTTTATAATAAAAAAAAGATGTTTTTGTGCATTTGGCAACCTAATTCCAGATGAAAATTTAGTGTTAATGTTAGTTTTGGTTCTTAATTGTGAAACGGTAAGTAAAGCAGCGAAGCTACTGGCAGTTTATTTTTAATAAACTTTGCATTCACAATTGATGATAAACTTAGTAAATTACTTGAAAAAAAAATGATAAAAGATTGTATTGAAATCAGCGGCATTTTGCTAATCATTTCAAGTAGTTATCTACTTGTTGTTTTTGGTGCTAAAAGTATAAATGAGAGAATTTCGGGTTCAAGAGTCCAGATTATTAATATCCCCACTCCTGTATCTATGTTTGAAAAATATGTTATACACACATAATTTTGAAACATTATAAAAATGCACAAAAAGTAAACTTCAATGCCCATGGTCTAACTCACAATAATGCGGCTATGAAGGATCAAAATTTCACATGTAAAGTTATACTCTCGCTGGGAATAAAGTTAATCTTATATATTTTTTTAAATCTAATTGACATTTCATTTATTAGGGTTCAAACAAACTCGTTAATATTACTACATTATTATAAAGTAATATTTACGGTCCTTTATTAAGGAAGTTTTTGACTCCGTTTGCGTGGTAAAGTTACTCTGAGTAGCGTTTCCAAAACGATTTTTTATTCATTCACATCACAACACCAGCCCTTTTACGTCCCCACTGCAGGGGCTCAGGCCTTTCTTATGGATGGTTAAGGAGGATGGGCCATGACCCTCCACGCTGGCCCAATGCGGGTTGGAGGGTATTAACGACTGCAAATGCAGCCGGGACCAACAGCTTAACGTGCCTTCCGAAGCACGGAGTAGCTCGAGACAATATTTTTTTGGTCACCCATCCCGTGACCGACCCTTGCGAAAGTTGCTTAACGACAACGATCGCGGGCCGCGGCGCTTATCCACTACGCCACCGAGCTACTTATTATTACATATTTATTATTATATATATACTTATTTATTCATTATATCGTGTAAAATGCCTGAAATAAAGTTTAATGATTTTATCTTTGACAATGACGAACTTCCGTACCGTATCTCAAGTCCAATGTGTTTAGTGGGTTACACGTGTGAGCGTAACTGACATAAACGCAGGCCTACTTAGGTATGTATAATATTAGTATGGAATAATTTACTAGATAGTTACCGAAATAAATAGACTAAGAAGAATATGAATCACGATTGCTTGGTCAACTTTTAAACACAGCTGTTAAAATTAAAAGTTTAAACTGTTAATATATAATGGATATGTCGTAGCCAACTGGGTAAAAGATTTATCCAATTAGGCGGCTAGCCCTATAATATAATGGCGCCATTTAATTTTACGGCTAAACGTCGATCAGCTCAGTAACCATCTACAGTGCGGTTTTCAAACCCTAGAGATCTGGTTTACTGTCAAAATCACTGTTCGAAACATAATTAATAATTTTATAAATAACAAAATATCTGCGATAATTGAATAAAATTATTGTTCAACTTCGAATATACTACAAGAAAAAGCTATATGTACAAGTATTTATTTATTTAAGGTACATCATCAGCTATACTATATGTTATTAACCGACTAATGTCCAATATGTTACATTACTTAATCTCTAAAAACTTTACAGCTATTTATTTAGCTGATTTGAAATACAGATGGAAAGAAAAACACAAATCTATCTTTTGAACCATGGTGTAGCTTGAGATAATAAGTGTTTTGGTTACCCATCCCGTGTACCAACCCTGGCAAAAGTGCTTAACAACAACGATCGCGGGCCACGGTGCTTATCCACTTCGCCAACGAGCTACTCAACTGAATAGCAAAGTTCTTACTAAATTTTATTTGAAAACTTAACCTTGATCAAAACACTGCGATGTAGAATTATAGGTACTTGTGTTTTCTTTAATATGATTTGAAGTTTAATATTATTGAAAATAATTATTTGAAATTTTATTTTATGTTATGAATTATTTTCTCAAATATATATTTTATCACAATATTAAGAAATCAAATTGTAAATAATGGTTGCCATAAAAATTATCACTCCCATTTTAATCCCTTTAAGTGCTAGTTTTCGGGATGATAAATAACCTATTACTATCAAATACCAATTTTTCATCGATATAGGTCCAAAAGCAAAGAAGTTTCGTACACACGTTTTCACATCCTTTTTGACCCCTTTTGAGATGGAATTTCCAAAAATCCGTTCTTAGTACACCTCTACATAATAAGGCGAATATACCCTCTAAATTGGGTACGATCAAATTAGGCATATAATGGAAAATTCAAACACATTTAGTTAAATTCTTGAGTTCGATCTATATCTTTTCCAATCTAGATTGCCATTAAAGCACACTAAATAAAAAATGCAACACATGAGAGCCAAGTTGGAAGCAGACTGGTCTCTAATTGAAAAATCATTAGCACTTCAACTTGGGAATTGGTTTCTTTGAAAATTTCATGAGCATATTAGATACTTTGGTCGTGAAAGTTCTTTATACTGAAACGTTAGAACAAAGAATAAGTAGATATCATATCGATATTCATATGATATCTACTGAGCAAAACAATGACGCAGTGGTATGGTAAACGCGTTTAAAATGCTATGCGAAGGTCTATGGCATCTATCGCCAAGGCGGACCAAAAACTTCTTCCATACTTCGGGAACATATTAAGCCGTTGGTCCGGGCTGAATCTGCAGTTGTCAGATGATGCATGTGGATTCCATCTACGCCACTCAGCAGTGGGGATGAGGTATTGAAAAACCAAATCGATCGTGAAATAATGTAGGGTAACTGCTTTTTTATACTTACAGTGTAATTAATTATGCTTTTATTTAACATGTAAATACACTTATTTTATATTTGGCTAATGTCGATTGGTACACGAATAAGGCACCTTTCTTAGAATCAATGGAGGCTTTCCAATGAAATAGATTTTGGAGGCGCGATAGCAGTTTCCTACGATCTTCACTACACTATACTATTATCATCCTTTATATTTTCTAGTTCGAGATAGCAGTAAGGAGTGCTGAAAAATTGTCACAACGCTTTGGCACTTCTTACAGTGTCGGTATAGCAGCAAATGTTTTGTGTAAGTTTTAATTTAATCTTACGTAGTTCCACTGTTTCGTGTTTGAAGTTTTTAGGAAGGCATTTGTATATTTATACCTGGATGATCGAGCTTTGCTTTATTGTTTTTTTTGTAAACGATACCTAACTGGCTCGATTTATCGCCCTAGAAACCTCTTGTATATTAAATTTCGCGAAAATTATTTGAGTCGTTTACGAGATTCAGATTATGTTTGTATGTAAGCTATCTATCAATCTATAATAGTAGGGGGAACCTGTCAGATTATAAACGTTTCACAGTACTTTCTTCGATTTTAAATAACTTGTAACTTCTTAATTTTTTTTGTAGTTGTGTTTTTAATTTTTTTATAATTTAGTTTTCTGTAAATACAATGTAATCCTACTCAGTCAGTATCTGCATGACCTATTGTGCATCGCCCACGCACAAATTCATATGCATAAATGGTAAAAAAATGGCAACAACAGTAATCGAAACAACCACCGTCTTTGCGGTTCTTGATACACGGCTGGTCTTGCAAATACTGATTTCTTGATTTAGTATCAAAGTTGCTAGACATCGTAGGTTCACTGTAAATTTTTTTTTTCAGATCCAATGAGTGGTACCAGTTTCGATTGGGTCAAGAACTACACTAACACCAGAATATCTTACTTAATTGAACTCAGGGACATGGGAGAATTTGGTTTCCTTCTTCCAGCTTCACAGATTATACCCAACAACTTAGAAGTGATGGACGGCCTAATAGAAATGGACAAAACTACGAAATTGCTGGGCTATTACACTACAGCAGATGCATCAAAGATATTTTACTCACTTAGTGTAGTAATATTTGGATTAATGGCTATATTAGTTGTTTAAGAGATAGATAAAATATTTATGATATTTTTATTAAACTCTGCCTATATGTGAACTTCAAAGAATTATCAGAACAAAACCTTGGATAGATGAAGCTAAGACCTATGAAGCAATCAATGTCTCAAAAATTCTGTTTATTTTAATAAAAAATAATAACTCATTAAATAAAAAAATAGTGCAATTCATTCGTTTTATTTGGGAACCGACAATTACTTTGAATTTATTACCAATACAGGGTAAGGTTATCGCTATTTTAAATAGCTATAATTGTTCAAATATGATAAGGACAATAGTGGTACATCATTTTTTGTGAATCTCATATAAAACGTGTTATGTAATTTTTTTACATTATTATGAAAAATAAAAATTGCAAGAGATAGACTCCAATGTACACTAGAAATTATCATATAATCTATATTGTAAACTATGCAGCTATTAAACGAGGTAAATCAAAGACAAACACAAATATGATTGGTGCAAATAATTTTATAAATAGTTTATCAGTAAAATAAAATATGCATACAAACTCCCACTTCAACAGCAATATTCTATTAATTTCGATGTTGTAGTTTCTGATTAAGTATAATTTTGGGATTAATTTTTAAATTTATTGTAATTAGTTTTAATGTAATCTAATTTTATTCTTTATTTTATGCATGAAAAATATATTATACTATTATGCAACCTTTATAATTGTCATGATAAGGCCACAAGGATTTGGTTTACAATCTAGTTTATAAATTACTTGAATTGCTGTAAATTAAACTCAATTTGGTTGTGAACTGTTTTGTGTCCTAACTTAATAAATAAATAAAAAAATAAAAAAAATAAACACATCGAGTGTGGATCGTGCGATTCAACAATGCTGCGATTTAAGACATGCATCATATACTTAGATCAACAATATATCGTTGAACGAAGAACATTTATCATGAGACGTTTGATACAAATCGACACTGCACTCTCGAATTAAAAAATGTCGCATGCGTCGCATGTGACGGGGAGCGTCCACTCCAAATCGCAGCTTGGATCCTATCTGACGGCCACATCATACCCTCCTATTATTACCACGTTTCAAAGTTCGTCAGATATCGCCTTGGATACCTCAATGTGGATCCGCCATGGCGGCACCTATAGATCTATGGTGACAAATTGTTGGCGGTATTATATTGGAAACCTCTTTTTATAAATCTGTTTTTTTTTTAAACGAGTTTTTGAGATTACTCGCTATTAGAGTTACTGTTGAGAAACCCATATAATTATATATATTTTTTTTACAAAAATGCTTATTTTATCACATATTTGTAATTATCTACACTGTTAACAGCTCTGTAAATCGATAACACTAATTATCTGATAATATCAGGTATTTGGATAAAATATTAAAGAATAGTTTTTGTTCTTATAAATTGGTGTGCCGATCAGTAACTATGATTATAAAAATATTACTATTAATTACAATAATAGCAGTTAATAAAGCAGAATATGTGAATTATAGAAATCACAAATTATACAGAGTGACTCCGTCCTCTGATAAAGAAGTGCAAGCTTTACTTGATATAAAAAACAACAATGATTTTTTGTTTTGGCTCGAAGGAGTGAAAGTGGGATTAGAAAACAGGATTGATGTGGCTCAGGAGAAACAGGAATTATTTGAAAAGTACCTGTCTGATGCTAGTATAAAAGCGGAACTCGTCGTGGATGACGTTCAAAGGTACTGAAATTTAAATTTGTCTCTTTTCCTTAACATTATAACTTAATTACGAATAACTAGAAATGAATTGTTGCTTACAAATATCTTGGCAATTTAAGAAACCGACAGTCAGAAAATAATGAAAGTAATAAAGAAACATTTCTTTAGTCTTATAGATAATCAAGTCAAACGACCACTTGTAAGAAACACAAATGAATACGTTTGGGATTACTATCAAACGTTAGATGAAATCTATGAATGGATGGATAGTTTCGCAGCAGCTCATTCAACGGTAGCATCGATTATAAATATAGGATATACCGCTGAAGAACGACCTATTAAGGGTATGGTTATAGATTACAAAAAGATTGGCGATCCTTATATCGGTGTAATTGAAGGAGGTCTTCATGCAAGAGAATGGATATCACCAGCTACTTGCACTTGGATTATAAAGGAATTTTTGACGAGTAATGACCCTGGAGTTCGGTCTATGGCTGAGGATGTTGTTTGGTACATATTCCCAGTAACGAATCCCGATGGCTACGTCTATTCTTTTACTGATGTAAGTACTGATTAGCTTGCCATTTCAGATTAGCATACACAATAACTGTATATTGTGGTTAAAAATATTAATATTACTTAACAAATTTCTTTAGGCGTAATTGAAAAATATAAAGTTTAAAAAACTTTTTCAAATAGAACTTTGTGATACTTTTTACTAGTATTAAGTAGATGAAAATCGTTGAATTCCATTTATTTCAGAAAAAAATCTGATAAGGGAGGAATGGATAAAAATAATAAAAAGGATCCACATAAAAATAATGACTTCGTTTTAAATGATTTTTAAGCTTTCTCGTTTTTTTATTTTAGAATCGGATGTGGAGAAAAAATAGGAATCCAGCAATGAAGACATCATGCGCCCAATGGAATCTACCAGACGATATGAGCGTTGGCGTTGATTTGAACAGAAACTTCGATTTTCTCTGGATGAGTAGGTTATGTTATTTTTAAATCTAATTACTGTTAATTAGAAAGAACTACATATTTTTAAATAATCAAGTTGTTTTAAAACTTGTGTTAAATCAAGATACTTGATGCTGAATTCAATTATGGTTACAAATATACAATTTTTATGTTTGAGGCATAGGTAAATTCAAATTGAAAACAAGAAATAAAGTATCGCCATCTCTGAGGTCCCGGGTTCGATTCCCGGTCGGGTCAATGTAGAAAATAAACTTTTCTATATTGACTCGGGTCTGGGTGTTGTGGTACCTTCGTTGTCTCAGATACTCCATAATACGGGGGCTTTAGCTACTCATCTTGGAATCTGAGCAATGTATGTGATGTTGTTAAATATTTATTTATTTATTTTACTACTGTACTAATATTTTTTTATCTTGTTAATTGCTATAACAAATATGCAACGTATATTTCCAGCTGTAGGAGCGTCATCAAATCCTTGTGCCATTACTTATGCTGGTCCTGCGGCCTTTTCTGAACAAGAATCACTTGCTTTGGCAAATTTGATAAATAATTTGAGCAAACAAGGCTCCTTATTGTACTATCTCAGCTATCATTCGTTTACACAATTGTTATTGATACCGTACAGCCATGTACAAGGCAAAGATGTTTTAGAAGCAGATAACTATGCAGATTTGGTACGTATTTAATATATATAAATCTACCGTACAATTAATCTTAAAATGGAATCGAGTAGTGGAACAAAAGATTTGTATGGACATATTTAACAAATGAAAAATATTTATCTATTTACCTATATCATCACGCCGTATCCCTTGCGGGGTTACTCAAGAGGATAGAGTACCAGAAGGCACTTTTCTTATATATTTTGATAGATTATTTATAACTTGAATGTGGTTGATAGTAATGAAGTTATAATTAATATATTACGCTTATGGCAGGAACAGATATATTAAGAATCTATGATGTATTATTTACAGTTTGAAATAGGCATTAAAGGGATGGATAAATTGACAGCAAGACATAACACTACTTATCGTGTTGGAACTTCCGCTGATATTTTATGTAAGTTCTCAACGAGTTTTCAATTTTCTTTCTTTTACTTCACGAACTATTAGTTATAATATACACCTTTATTATTAATATATTATTATATGTAATATAAGGTGTAATATTATTGTATGTCAGGACTTCGTGAGGTGGATTAGTAACAACATTTACATAATTGTAATACCTACAATCGTTTAAATTATGGTCCAGCTGATTAATTTTTCGTGAAGTCAGTTTTGCTCCCATAGTAAATGTTGTTTCAGTACATTTAACTAATCAACTCCATGAATTCCTGGCATATAATAGTATTACACTTTTTTTATATACACATATTACGAAATAAATTCTGCTCGCCTGACTGTTTGAACAATATATACTCAAAAACTACAGAAAACAATAAATTTAGGAATTCAATTCTCGAAGAAAATATTTTGCACGACTGATGTGACTGACACATATAAACATTATGTTGGTATTTTTGTTTTTCTTTGTGGCGTAGAATTCATTCATTACTGTTTGGTATAAATTTAATAAATCAAATCTTATTAGAGTACTCGAAAATCCACTATCCCCAAGTTACTGAGATAATGTGATTGGAGATTCTATTTTACTTTAATAAGATTGTTATCAACATAGAAAATCTATAATATATAAAGCTTAATTACCACTCACTGACTCACTGACTCACTCCATGCTTTTTTCGGGTAGTTAAAGTAGGAAAATGACATTTTCATGTATGAAGAGTGATAATATTTTTTTAAAATGAGTTGAAATGGCATTGGGGTTCAGCCAAAAAACAAAATGGCGGCGAGATAATTTTTTTAGTTTCTACATTATTCACTCTACGATTACGATATTCAAAATAGTCGTAGATGTAGCTAAAAAAATGACGCTGAAAAAGGGTTTGATTAAAAAAACAAAATGGCGGCCGAGATATTTCACCTGGAAATTTGGCATTTTTCGACCTCTGTTCGGGCGATCGTCAATTCTTTTGTGGTGGGTTTGCAGGGGGTATTTTTAGGCTGGCGACTCGGAAATATAGTCGATTTTCACGTACGGGGAGTTTTCGCTTGCGTGTCAATATGGCGGCGGCGGTGGCGGCCATTTTGTTTCGGCATTGAAAAATCGCCATTTTCCAGTGAGATTTTCTCCAAGATGGCGGCGTCGGACGGGTTCACGTTGTATGGGGTGGTCGTGGGGCTCTCTGCTAACTTTTTAAGTTGGTAATAATTTCTACCATTTTCGTGGTAGTTTAGGAGATTTTGGGAGAAAAGTGAAA